CAGCAGCAGCAGTGGTAGTAGTAGTATGAGCAGCACAATTATGAGAGCCATTCATGTGAGCATCGGGCTCATAGGCAAGGTGGGTTCGTGCCTTTGCGTAAAGGGTCATAGGCGAAATATTCAATAGTCGCATGTGGCTTTGTGATTGAAGCTAAGGTAAAACCTTGAGCGGTGCCAACTAATAAAGCCACAACCCTCGGACGCCCGAAACGTGAAACCGAAGACATTACTGCATCAAGGAAGTATTCTTTGGTTTTTATAAAAGCAGGGGATTCATAAGCACATTATTATTGTGTTTATGGTTCTAAGGGCGGCTACGTAGAAGAAACAGGTAAAAGCGTGGAGAGACAATGAGAAGCAGATACAGACCCAGACGGACAGAGAGCGACAGGCGGACACAAACAGCATGATAAAGAGAATGGGAGCGCTGCCAGATCCACAATCTGAACATGAATGCCACCTTGAAGGCTTCTGCGACTTCAGCTTCGTCTCCGCCTGATACGAGCTCTCTGTCCATACCCGTCTCCTGATGACACTGGTGACAATAGCTTTGGTTGGCCGTCCTGGCGCCCAGTGGGCATCCTCTGAAGTGTCCTTCGTGGCCACGGAGGAGGTTTTCGAGCCCATGGAATCAGCGAGCATCCGCGAGAATCTGCGAGGCCTCGGCCCTTGGAGTTGACTTTGGGTCTTCCCCAGATGCCGAGCCTCTGCATGCTGGGCATCTCTGCGCTCGTTTTCCAGATCTGCAGGCCCAGCCCACCCCAAGCCCTCCCAAGCCTCCAGTGGAGTCCTTGCTGTCGGCCTGGCTGCGGCTCGCGGAGTCCTAGCTGCTGCCCGATGCATCGAAGAGAAAAGCGAGCGACGAGCGACGAGCGACGGAGCACGGGCAGCGACGGCTCCTCCAAGATCAAGAGATTCTCGGCTCGGAGTCTGCGAGGCTCCAAGCCATCCTTAAACGAGAAGGACTCAGTTGACTCAGCTCTGGCCCCTCACAGGGCCCTACCGACAGGAAGTGGACAACGTAGCGCCCGGAAGACTCGTCAAACTCTTCGATGACACCAACCTCGAACCGAACACAAAGCCTTCCGACTGCGACTTCGCACTTGCACGCGATGCCTCGTCGTTCAACTCTGCGTTTGTCCTTGCCGCGCAAGCCCTCTCCGAAGACGCTTGCCTACACTATCCTGCAGTGACCCACTGGCACCTGAGGTTGCAGAGCACCACGATGGTTCCAGGGCTGAGGATGTCCTGCAACTGCGATGGGAAACGTGCAGAAGCCGGGAGCCGTGCAAGCGCCGCCTCTGCGGAGCCAAGCTTCCCTCGACCTAAAGACACGACGTCTCAAGCGGCTGCACCGCTTGCCAGTCCCAGCTGTCCCGTGCCTTCTGCGGGAGCTTTGCTCGGGGAGCTGTTCCCCTGATGCTCCCATAAAGTGCGGCTAAAAGAACATGAGTGAGCGAAGCGCTCCGCCTCTTGAGCGTCTTGTGAGCTCCGCATCCCTTCCTCCGTCTCCGTTTTGGCCTTGGCGCCCGAAGGAGCTTCGCCTTGCTCGAAGGAGCCGACTGCAGCCGCAATTTGGAGTCGCAAGGCAAAGCCGAACCGCCTGGCCTGGTCCGAAGGCGCCCGTCGCCGCATCCGGCGCTGCCTTCTCTGCCTTCTCCTCCTTCTCTTTCGCTTCCCTCTGCACGCTCTGCCTCGGTGCTCTGCTAACAAACTGCTTTCACCGTGTGCTGTGTTCTTGGAGTAAGCGCTCGACTTCGTCTTCTTCCTGGCCACTCGTGCAAGCAAGGAACTTGGGAAGCAAGGCTCTGATCTCCCTGGGTACCTTTCTGCTGTTTTCATGATGCTGTTCACGGTGAATGCTGTGCGCCCTCAGCTTGTCGGGACAATGGAGGCATCTTGGAGGCTCGAAGAAGAGCAAAGGCCGGGGCCAGCAGATGCTGCAAGCTCTCCCTTCGATTTCATCAGGTGCGCCTCCCCCAAAGAGGAGACAGGCAGGGAGGAGTGGCCAGAGAAAACCAGAGAGAGAGAGAGAGAGAGGGAGAAAGCGGATACGGTCCTCGGAGCCCAGTGGGCCTTCGCCTGCATCTTCGCCACGAGGCGTGCCGCAGCGCTGCCGGCGAGCCACCTTATCGAAACGCTAACTTCAGGAATGCCACCGAGGAGTGAGACAGGGGAGACAAAGGCGACAAAGGAACAGATGTTCCGAGATCAGATGCTCGGGTTCCTTTATGTGCCTCTGAATTTACACTGATTGGCAACTTCCTCGTCACAACCTGCAAGATGCGCCTGCCTATGTCAACAGATACATGCCGAGGCACTGCTCCGCACCGTTGACATAAAGCCAGCCGATGAGATACAGCATTTCGGGGCCGGAAGGAACCTTCCGGAAAGATTAGGTTATAGGCACGCAGGCACTTCCCCTTGGCCTGCGAGAGGCGCTTGGCTTCTGCCCGCTGTGCTTCCTCCCAGCCCTGAGAATCGAGAGGAGCTCTTTGTTGGCGGCCTTCCTTGGGCCGGCGCCTCGTCTTGGTGAGCGTCAAGGCCTCGACAATCTCCATAAGAACGGAACCGGACCACCGAAGGAAGCAGAGCAGAAGCCTGGCTGGGCCCCTGGCGGCTGGCCAAGTTCACGGCGCACTGCACCTGCCTCCGTCGCTCCAAGGCCTGCGATCCGCGCAACCCCGTCCCAGCAGCCAAGCTGCGCTCTCAAACACAAAAAAGAGAAAGAAAGGCAGAGCCAGCGCGCGCACCAGCATTCGCTTGTGGGCTCGGCTGACCTGCAAGAACGGCATAAAGGTGCTGCTGCTTCTCTGCGTGTCCCGGGTGCTGGCCTTCAATGCATCAATCTGTCCGCTCTCCTCGTCTTCAGCAATGATGTCGCGCATCATCAGCCTGAGGCGAGTGATGTCGAGGAGTACAGGGAGGCTGCTCGGAAACAAGTGTGCCATCTTGCACTCCCTCTGGAGCATCAAACATCGTGCGCCGCCATGCAAGGCCACTTCAGGCTTTCAAGTTGCTCTGTCAGGTTCAAGTTATCTGACCTAAGCTGACAAGGCTCTGGCTGCAAATCCATGTCGATGTCTTGCGCCAGGCGCGGCCGACCAACGAACCTGCTGGTGACCAGGTTGACAGTACTGCAAAGCACAAGAAGGCCGCAGCACGGAGAATCGAGGATTGACCTTTTCTGGTGCTGGGTCACAGGCGGTTCGAAGTGGTGTGTGCCGAAGAGTGCTGCGAAGAACACAACAGGCCTGTCCGCGCGACAGTACGTCACATCGTTTTGCACGTCTCCTCGAAGGTGTTCGAAGGCCCCTGCTCAATCTTCGGGAGGTTAGCCGCGGCGGTGTCCTTCTGCAAGCTGCATTGCAAAGGCTGTCTTCAGGGTGTCACCGCGGAGCGAGACCTTGCCAAGCTCGTCGTAGGCCCGCCTCTTCACAGTTCAACTCGATGGACCAAGCCGATGCTTTCTTCCCCAAGCACCGCTCTCTCTTGCTTGCTTGCTTGCTTGCAGGGCGTTTGGTGCCAATCTCTCTCTCTCTCTCGCTCTCGCTCTCTCCAACACACACATACATACGCGCAGAGACAATGCCACACAAGAGGAAAGTTCCCTTCTGGGAGACGGGACTGGGATAACGAACAGACGCAGCTGCATGATATGCATCTGCGGAACGAACCGCGCGGTGTACAAGACATGGAGCTGCCACGACGCCGTGAAAGCTTGGACAGACCCCGTAAAAGACGAACCATGTTGGGAAGAAGCAGGATGCAGAGACCGAGACATCCGAACATCAGAAGACTGCGGGAAACCGGGGACGCCAAAGTACCGAGAGAAAACCTTGCTTACATTGAGGCAACACGGAAGCAAAACGCTCAACACCAAAACAGGTGAGGAAAGCGAGGTGGCCTTCGTTCCTCGTCGCCAAGGATCCGGTAAGCGTCGCTGACTTCCTGAGATGAAGCCTTAAAAGCCTCCAAATGAGACCGGAGCTCCGGGTCGCCTGGAACTGCTTCGTGGCTTCTGGGTTGTCCGGATTCTTGTCCGGGTGGAGAGCCTCGAAGCGAAAGACGCAGCGACCGAAGCCTGCGCCTCATCTCTCGGGCGACAGACTAAGGACTTCTTGTAGAAGGCTCGGCGAATGTCCGCCTCCGATGCCTCTCAGAAGGCGTTTGGAAACCCATCCCGCTGCCGAGATCGGTGACTCGAAGACTCGCTTTGCAGCTGCAGTTCAGGCATGATCTGGACTACTATAGAGTTACGAGACTCTAGACTCTGTAACGATGGCGGGCTTGGGGTAGCTTCTTCGCATTGGATATTTGCCATGGCTCGCGTTTGCTCCGCGCGGGGTTTGGGTTTACGAGCTTGGCCCCGTGACCCTGCCTCAGGCCGCACGCCTAAGACGTTGTACAGCTCTGTGTGCTGGACCTTCCTGGAAGTCGAGCCGGATGAACGGGCACGGCTTTCGCCACCCGCCTGCCCCGGTCTCGCAGTGAGTGAAATCACAATCTCGTATCCCAACAATTGTCCGAGGCAAAGGGCCTCCTCGCAATCCTCGCACAGGACCTCATGCAAGGCGTGAGGACAAATGACCGGAGAAACCAGGAAGAATCAGTCAGCTCGCAGCTTCCGAAGCTTCCTCGGGCAACGAGTACCAGTCCTTCGCGGCGCGAGGCACGAGGCTCAGCTCGCGAGCGTTCAAGAAGCGGTCCTTCTCCCACTTGCGAGCATCTGAATTCCACACCTCGAGCCAGTTGCCAGGGAGATCTAGCAGTCGCTGCTTCCCTTTCCCTATGCTCTTTCCGGCCCAGCCCGTCCCCGGCCCGTCCCCTTCTCCTCCCTTTTCCGGACGTTCACTATCGCGGGGGCCTCTCCACGAGCCGTGCGCAGAATGGCCCCCGGCGTGTTCACGACGCCGCGGACGATCTGTCCTCTAGGCAATGACGGCATATGACGGCTCATGACGGCGGCTCCCGAGCGGACCGCTTCGTATGGAATACTGAGGTCCGGTCCACTTCCCACAACAGTTCCAGCCACGGTGCTCCCAACGCATGTGGCCAAGCCAGTGCCACAGCCCTTGGCAAAGCCCTGAGCCGCACTGAAACCGCGAGATGCTGCGAGACGCGCGGAGGTCACTGCTCCGGGCCGCCTTGATGCCTCCGCACTTGGCCCCCACGTAGGGCTGGACGACCTGGGCAGGAGAACCCCTCGAAGCGAGGTCTCCGACGCTCAAAGGCTCCCGGCCAAACTCGCCAAGCCCACGCCCACGCCCCTGCCGTGAAGTGAGTCTGAGCGGGAAAAAAGTGGAGAGGAACGGAGCGCCGGAGCGCGGCCCAGCTCGGCCTGGCCATGGTCTTCAGGCCACTCGCCGTGCCGGCCACGGCGTCTCGGGGCTTCCGCACGGAGAAGACGCTGCCGACAGCAGCCTGCACCAAAGAAGGGAACCGGTAGCGGCGGCAGCGAGTCCACTGGTCACCGGCTCGCCTTCAGCATCTCCACCTCCGCCTGCTCGCGCTCCTTAAGCCCACTGAAGCTTATTGAAGCCCACTCTGAACCCCCCCGATCCCCCTCTGCACTCCGCTGGGCCCTCGCGCTTGCTGCTCCTGCAGGCGCAAGGCCAGAGCCTCGTGCCTCAGCGCATTTCTCGCTCCCTTCGCTCCTCTGCTCTCGCCCTTCTCTTGCCCCCAAGGCCCCTGCCGGGCGGCTTGCTCGGCATCGTAAACCTCCATCTTGCGATGCAGCAAACTCTTCGGCTTCAAATCCGTCTCCAAGTTCCCGGCCGCAACATCGGTCGGAAATTGCCCTGCCTTAGTGTGCACTTGATCCGATCCAGCCTGGCATGCATCCGCTTGATGCCTCCGGGCACGTGTCACGCGCCATGGGGTCATTGTGTGAGTAAGTCTCAGTTGTTGTCTGAAAGTCTTCATGGTTCAACTAAGAAGCACTCCGCTCAAGTCGGAAGTGTGAATAAGTGTCTTTCAAGGTGTCTGCATGTTTGCATGCTGGAGTGGCTGTGATGGCAAAGGGTAACTCGAACAAATACACAGCTTCAGTTGCACATGAAGAAGCATGTGGAGTGCATGCCGCCAAATCAAGCCAACTTGATTCACTTTTGTCCCTTACCGGCTCTCGGCTAAGAAGGCTTGCCGAAGCAAGTTGTACCTGATGTGCACAGTAATGCAATCAATGCATCGACAACATGGTTGCCCCAATAGTGAACAGAATCTTTTCCCCAATGCATGGGACAGGAGGTATGTAGGCCGGCAAATTCTATTTACAGACTGGTCACATGGCAACCTAGCTACGATGTGGAGCTGCACCTGCGGCACCTGTCTCCGCAAAAAAGCCTCTTGAGCAAAGTCCGCAGAAGGAACACTCAGCCATGACCATTCCCGAAAGGGAATAGGGTGGCTTCACTCTTTTCTGCAGGCTCATGCCGCGGCTAAGGAACAAATGCCAAACATGGCAGCCGGCACAACTTCGTCATGGCCATGTGAAACCCATGCAACCTTGGAAAAGAAACGCTTGGAGCCTTAGAGCTCGTCCTTATCGCCGGTTTTCGCCTTGAGAATTGCGATCTTGTAATTTGTCTTGTCTTTGAGCTTACTCAAAGACTTCCTCGGTTCTTGCGCATGGCACTGCATGTCACATCTACGCCCATGTGATCTTTAAACTGTAGCTGAGCATCTTCAGATCTTCCTGCTTCTTCATCGTGGCCATGGCTTCTTCCTTTTGTTTCTCGAAAAGGTCACTGGCTGCCTTGTATTCCGCCTCCAAATCGTCCATCTCCTGGCACGCACGGTTCGGAGCACACGGAGGCCCTGCATGAATCTGAAAATGAGCGTGAGACGCTGCATGAGAAACATTAGTCTGCAGTGTCCTTTTGCATTCTGGTTTTCTCCTCCTTCATCTTGTCTGCCGCCATCTCTTTGATCTCCTAAGAGACATGAAGCAAACTGGACAGTCCCCACAAGGCCACGAGCACAGGACCAGCTGCAAAGCTTCTCATGTCCTCCAAGTAGGCGTTGTCTTTCTTGTCACAATTCTCACCCGTGTCGGGGACACAAGGCATTTTGGCTGCACGCTTCACGAACTTGTTGAGTGCCTTGAGGTCTCGGGCGTCTTCGTACGGATCACCGTCGGGGGATGTGCTCGGACTGAAATACTTCAGGGTAGGGTAGCCCTGGACGCCATACTTGGCGCACAAGTCTTTGGCCTCCAGCTCACAAACATGTCAGGTCGGGTCCGCTTCGGGCTTCGGGTGGGGTTTTCGACTGCGCTCTGAGACTTCGAGTTCCAGCTCCAGTAGTCGATTCGAGCCTGCGTTATAGGGTTAAGCATTTGCTTCAAACTGGCATGCTGCCTAGCAGGCCTAGCCTAGCACTTTCACTTAGTAAAACGGAGTACCACGGGGTAAGCAACGGGTGACGTTGTCCATGGTGCAGTCCACGTCCACGATGATGGCATTCGAGTCAGCTTTGTTCCATTTGGAAGCCAGCTTGTCCTCGGCAAGGCCGCCCCTAAGCCACCCGCCCCCCACCCGCCTACTTCCGCACGAGAAAAGGCTTTGAGACAGAGGAAAGCTTGCGGCTTGCCACCTAGGCACCCAATCAGGTTTCAGCTTCTTGCAGTGGCCTCACCATGGCGCCAAGAACTTCACGAAGGCCATCTTCCCACTCTTTACCGGCTTCAAGACCTTCTCGTCCCAATTCTCCGAGGTTGCCTCGAAGGCTTCCGCCGCTGCGCCGATGGCGCCGCAAGCGGCGACCGCCAGCAGCTTCCACATGACGCAAGCAGGCGCCAAAAGGGGCGCTGTTGTTTAACAAGCTCTCTCTTCTCCTAAGAAGCTGCGGAAGGGAGTCAAAGAGTCAAACAGAAAGCTTTAGCATCCTTCCAACCACAACCGGCCTCTCTCTGGACGGTAGATGGCAACTTCCTTCTCCTGAACACAGAAAGGCAAAAGCCAACCCCGTGTTTCCCCGGGGGCAACCTCCTGCCGCTGCCGACAGCAAGCTCCCGTGTCTTCCATCCGCACCGTCCAGACCTCGAGTGCTGATAGAGCATTTAAAACCCAAGCCGTACACGCACTTCTTTTTGTGGTGTGGTATTAGCCCTGCAACATGCCGTTCGGCGACGAAACAGGACAGGCTGAAACGGCAAGCCGGTGCCGGACATTCTGCACCCGGCCCGCTGTTTGCCGTCCGCCGGTGAGGGCGGGAGCAAAACTAAGGGGCAGCGAGGACGCTCCGACCGACGTTAAACCAAAACTGCACTCACATGACGCACTTCGTTTCGTCGTGTGGTATTGGCGCTGTAACACGCTGTTTGGCGACGAAACAGCCTGAAATGGCAAGCCGGTGCCGGGGCACCCGCCACGCGCACCGCCTCCCCACATCGCGCCGGCTCAGCACGTGAAGCCCTGCGCCGCCAGGAGAAGCTCGTCGGCCGTTTCCGCGGTGGCGAACTCCAGGTCGCCGACCGCCTTGGCAAAGATGCGCAAGATCTCGTCGTGAGGGCCGTGGACTTCGGTCCATCCCTCACGTCGTGCTCTGCCGAAGTCGTCCCTGGGCGATCATCGACAGCGGCAGGTGCATCGCGAAGGTGACGAAGGCCGCGAGTTGGGCAAAGACGTCAAGCACGTAGATGTAGGCCATTCTTGCCGAAACAATTTAAAACCACTCCGGCACCACGCTGTGGTCGTTAACAGACCACCCCATCCATTCGCCGCGCGTTGGTGCGGCGTTGGGTTGAACCCTTCTGGCACGTGGCCCCCTTGTGCTTCTTCCCGCCGTCGGTAAAGAAGGTGCCGGCATGGAGGATGGCCACATCCATGTCCGCCGCATCGTAGGGGATGAAGCGCGAGAGCTGGTCAGCTGTCCATGGCATAAATCGCCTTGGTGGCTGCATTCTCCTCATCGGCGATCCCTGCGATGTACCTGCATCCCGGGGGCGTGCAGAGATGACAGCACCATCCAGCGATACGGGTTGGACCTTCTGGGATTTTCCAGGGATCCTGGCGTGTCGTGCAGTACCAATCAGCGTCGTGCAGTACCAACAAGCACAGTAGTCGGGGCGTTCAACGGCGGGAGATTGGGCCTGGAATTCGGCTCGGCGCGGCCTCCTCACCTTAGCGATCGTCGTCTTCCGGAGGTGGTGCACCGACCCCGGCCGCGCCTGTACATCTTCTCCTTGTATCGACGGGTACTCCGGCGGCATGTTCTTCTCGATCTCAGCGATCTCGACGTCGGTGAGCTTGCTGCGGTGCTCGGATCGGAGTCCAAAGCCCGGCTCCTCCACCTCGTCGCGAGCATCCGCCGAGGGGCGGCGTGTGGTCGCCAATGAGCGGTCCAGCTCCGGTCCGGGCGACATTCGCCCAGTGTCCTTATGGGCGGGCGTTGACGACGTGGAAGGCAATGGGCCATGTAGCGGCAATGCCGGTGTCCAGGCTCTGGCACCGGCGGAACCAGGTCCTCGCCGCTGCCTTCCACAGCTGACTCGCCCTGGCCGACGGCGGTGCACCAAGGTCCTCGCTGCTCGGCGGGATCGGCTGCTGTGTCATTCAGGGAAGAGGCCATTCATGTGTGCCGTCAACGCGTCGGTTGACGGCGTCGTCGATGGGGGGCATGCATAGTGAGCACCGCCGCAAACTCCATGAACGCCGTCCTGTCCTCATCTGTCCTCCAGCGCCGCCCAAGCGGGCGATCCACCTTGGCGGCCGACAGCGGCGCCTTCCTCTGCGGCACGGCTTTGATGCGGACGGCGCTGCCACTTCCAGACATAGCGCTGAGGAATGAAAGGCCAGGAGAAAAGCTAACGTAGTTCGAGCCGGAGTGCTAGCGGCGTTCGCCGTTACCGCATGTTACTGCGCACACACGTGTGCTACACAACACAACTCGCTGAGGCAGGGACGTTGACCTGTCCCATCTCTTTGCTGCCGAGAGCTGGCATCTCCATCTCGAGACCTTTCGCGCGCCTGCCGCGCCAGCAGGGGAGACTAGCCTCGTGATGCTCGCTGGAAGCACTCTTTCGGCCTTCGGAAGTGCATTTTCAGACACCTGCACAGACAGAAGCTTTCGAAAAAAAATCGCACGTCATGCTCTCAGCCTCTCGGATCGGCGAGAGCGGCTTGCAGCTTGGTAGCAGCTGCGCCTCCAACATGAATGTAGCGACATGCGGCCAGCCAAAACCGGTCACCAGCATCCAACGGTCACCTTTAGAAGAGAGTTGATCAGAGCAAACCTAAGAATCCAAAGTGGCCAACCTCGACTGCCGATTGGAGCGGCGAAGCGGCTTCCTGCAAGCAGAGAACACAGCATTGAAGTTGGAAAGTTTCAAGATGTCTCACGAAAGAACACACTGCCACATTTGAACTTGACCTCCTGGGTAAGCGAATTCTCTTTCAGGGAACTGGCCTTGGTAACTCGCGGCTGGCGGTTTGCAGGAACAGTGGGGACCCTATCCAGCCTGCCGTGGCTGAAGCGGTGTTTCATCCTGTCACAATGCAAGAAACCGCTTCTTCAACTGCTTCATCGGAGTGTGTCGTGGGCAAGCTGGGCCTGCATGGACGGCTTTGCTGGTGGTGTAGCAGTTTCTTCATGCAGGTCCTGCAAACACGACCACCCCAGCAACAGAATCTCGTCTGCAAGACCAGAGTCTGGCAGTCGTGCCTTGCCTCACCTTGCCGCCAGCGGCCCTAGCGGCCCTGTACCAGCCCTGGCCTTTGCACTGCAACATCGCAGTGCTGGCCTTGTCGATGCTTCGGACACCAGCACCGGGAGAGGGAGGTGGCGCTTTGGGACAGTGCTCCCTGTCAATTACACCAAAAACAGGCATTTCCACCCAGCGCATTCCGCACCTCGTGTGGAAGCCAGCCGTGGAGGTCCTGACACGCGCGGCTTGCAAGCCCTCAGAGCATCTTACTGAATTCCTAAGCGCAGGACCTCGGAGCTCCGCCAGAACGGCTTTGCGCTCCGGCCTGCCACAAACCACTGCCACAGACTGGCAAGAACAGCATGAAACGGAGGCACAGCCTGTGGAGGAATGATCATCACCTTACCACCTGCCCAAAACATTGCAAAACAGGCGATGTGTGATGCATGCAGGAATAGCTCGCTTGCAACTCTGCCTGGCAAAGACTGCCCCAATCTGCACTCTCTCCTCCAGCGAATTGCTCTTGTCTTCTACTCGGCGGCAAGATGAAGAAGTGCCGCTGAAAGTGATCGACAAAGGCGCCTGCGAGTCTGTGTTTCAAACTTGCTCCTTGGCGAAACGGGACCTGAACAGGAGATTCTTGACTCTGCAAGAGCGAGGCTCACTGTGTAAGCTTAAGCTCTTCAAGCCTTTTTGGTTAAACTGCTCAAGACCTGACCCTTGCCCTTGCACAACTGGCTGGTTCTTTTAGCACTCGCCGGCCCTTCGCAAAATGTTCGGCGCGAACTGTTGACTGATCTGTTTCCGATAGCTGGCTCAGGGAAACACACGCCCATCCCCAGATTCGTTCAGGTCGGGGTCTTCGTCTAGAAGTGGCTCAAAGTGCATATGCATGGAAGATGAAGAGATACATGAAATGCATGAGTGCGTGGAAAGGAATAGCAAAGGGGGCGGGCGTGGCCATTTCAGGTGAGCTTAATTTCGTGTCCACGAGAATCCACAGCACTCAAAGATCATGCAAGCAAAGAATGTATCCACGCCCGCCAATGTTGCGAAACTGTCAGGGTTACAACCAGTTTGCCACTGCAGGCAGTGATAATCCGCGTGCGGCCTTGACAAATTTCTTGACAATCCCATTACACACGCAGGCTAATGCTCGTTGGTCTCACATTTTGACCCTGCAATAGCCTGCCGAGTCTGGGGAGAAACCTCACTCGACAAGATCTACTTGAGCACAGGGTCCACGCTGGGAACACTGTTACACGTGCCGTTGACGGACGTACGGAACAACTTTGCAACCGTATCTGAACATTGCACCTCTACGCATGCAATGGGCCCTAGAAACACAAGCAATCGCAGTCTGAGAGAATCCAAAGCAGGGTTTTTCCGCATCTTGGCCTGAGCGAGGGCTTTGGGATGCGGAGGAACACCTGGAGATAGCCTTAGTCCAAGGGGTGTCTTTGAAGCGCTGTCCCTTTCTTTCTTCATCTCTTGGCCTCGCCTCCGGCTGCCCTTCCCTCCCTTCCCGTCGCCGCAGCGCCTCGAAATTCCCGTGTGCTCTGCAGTGCCCTGCAGTGCCCTGTAGTGCCCCGTAGGCCCTAGGCCTCGCGAACACGGGGCTCCGCAGACTTGGGGCGCGAGTCTCGCCGCATCCTGGGCCAGAGCTGTGAAGAAAGGCCCTGCAGCCGCCCAACGGGGCCCGCCCAACCTCGAAGAAACGGTCTCCGCTAAGAACCCTGGAACCGCCTGCAGCGGAGCTGACAAGAGGCAACGGCATCAACGAGTCTGTGCCGTCTCTGCCTCTGGAGTCTTCGCAGCTACCACGCTGGCACTGTCCATCCAGCGCTTCTGCGTCCGCGACGCCTGCGCTCGCATTTGCACAGTGACAGAGTCTCAACCTTCGTGACTACCGATCATCTCTGCAGGGACTTGAGTTGGTCTTGCACCTCCTTCTGTGGGATGGTTTGCATATCAATTGAGCTTACAAAACCAATCAGATCAAGACGGTCACGCTGACATCTCAACTCAAGAAAATCATGTCACGCGACCCACTTCCGTGGCCTGCATAACCTGCGGACGTGAGGACCATGCGGTTAACGACGGGCTGCATGGACCCTGGGCAGGCCAAGACTTCGCCTACAGTAGTGATCGAACCCTCGGTAACCAAAAGAGGCGCTGACTGCTCTGGATGTCGGAGCTCTCAGGCGCACATCGTCCTCTGCAGGCTCAACTGCCGAGGCTGCATCTATGGTGACAATCATCCAAGGTCAAGGCTCTGTCCAGGTTCAGCTCCACCATCAACAGCTGTTGGTGGATCTGATTGTGCTTCAGCACGTTCTGCAGCCGAGCTTGGAGTGGTACTCGCTGTTCTGCCTGATGCATTCTCCATCAACAGAAGGACCTCGCAAACGCTGAGAGGTGGCTCACAAACTCCAATCGCCAGACTGGCCGGCTGAGGCCACAACGGCATGAGCACATCAAGAAGTCAACTACAACAAACACAATATTGGAGGTCAATCCTCAACACCCAATCTAAACAGCTACGATGCGGAACATGATTGTTGCTCCAGCATCGGTCAACATGCGACCAAAGCACATGTAAACGAAGAACTGTATCACCGAGGACCTAGATTTGCGGGCTCAACCAGTACAGCACCTAGCAAAGCTGAGCAAATTCAACTGACATTCGGATTGAAACGGCTGCAAGTAGCGCTGAACATGTTGACTCTAGGTCAACCAACACTGGCAACCACGGCAAGCAATGCTGCAAAATGACGGACTGGACGAACTAAACCTGCAACTGCAAATTCACCAAACAAGTGCCTGCGCGCACGAACAATAGTTGGTCCGCCCTGCCCCCCCCCCCTTGCTTCGCCCTAAACACAAGTGACAACCATGCAAACACTGAGACTTCTGCAGCGGCATCTGATGAAAAACGCATGGTGCTGCCTTATCTCGCGACCTCTGCTGTATGCCAAAGCATTCAACGGAAGTCAGCCAAACACCATCAAACACCTTTTGCCAAGCGAGTGTCGTTTGAGCGGGTTCACACATAAACACTCACGGCCTAATTGCCAGGGCACGTGCACGAGGTACTGGAACTACGCGGTCTCCCAAGTCCTACATCCCCGATGGGTCTGGCACCTTGCTTCTCGCGCTTCTTGATCAACTCTGCTGACATCATGCTGAAGGCTGTTTCCACGTGCGTGGCGTCTTTGGCAGAAGTTTCGATGAAGGGTATGCCAAGTTCATCTGCTTTCTTCTGCGCCTCCTCGGTGGAAACTTGCCTGCCCGGTCTGGCAAACTCACCCTTTCCTACAATGGAAGCTCACTGTGAAGTCGCAGCCTCCTATACGCGATATACCCCTGGTCCCAAGTCCCGCCTCTCTGCTGTCATGTCACATTTGTTCCCCAGCAAGATCTTAGAGGTACTTTCGTTCACATATCTGCTGACCTCATTCAGCCAGTCTTCCACGTGAGAAAATGATTCCCGATCACATATGTCGTAGACCAAGATGATGCCATCGGCGCCGCGATAGTATGCACTGGTGATGGTTCGAAACCGTTCCTGGCCGGCTGTGTCCCAAATCTGCAGCTTGACTGTCTTCTGCTCCACTGGAATCGTTTTGAAGCGGAAGTCGACGCCGATGGTCGTGATGTAGCTGTCGGTAAATGCGTCGTCAGCAAAACGCAACAGCAAGCAGGACTTCCCTGTGCCAGAGTCGCCAATCAACACCAACTTGAATAGGTGGTCGTAATCGCGCTTCATGCCAGGCCGCAAGGCCCGCTGGCGCACCGGCTCAAGTTCCCTAGGCCCCACTGCTTGGGCCAAAATCCAGCAACACTGCCAAGACGACCAACACTGGCCCTCAGAGCTCCGCTGGAAAGCCGTCTGCTGCCAACAAGGCAACTGTAGCTGCGTCAGCACGAAACAGAGGGGGTCTCTGTATACGCACAAAAGATTTGGTTCAGCATGTTTTGGAGGATGCTTATGCGTGACGGTATAGACACACTCCACAGAAGATAGTTTGGATGTCCCACTACTTTGGAGATGCTTCTTGCGCTTCCATCCGCCCCTGCATTGCGAGGTCACAAACTCTGCACCTGACGCGTGCGGCAGCTGGTGCCACCGGCCAGTTTTCACAATGACCCTCAGCAGCGGCTCAGTAGCGGTGCTTGGAACAAAAGAGGAGTGAGACGAAACGGCAGAGCAGGGCTCTCATCTCAGCGCCTGCGGCGCCTTCGCTGGGCCTGGGCCCCGCGCTTTGGGTCCCTTAGGTCACGCCTCGGGTCCTTGTCGAGGTTCTTGTCTTTGCCCCGCTTTCCGTCGCTTCTGTCGCGAGGCTGTTCTCCACCGATAAGAACCCATTCCTGTGCAGCAACAATGCGAGGTAGGGAACAGGAGTTCTTGAAACTCTACCACAGGTTTGAGTCGGGTTGCAATACAGTTTGTGTTTGTGTATGTTCGGGCTTGCTTCTGCAATTGGGCGGCGAATTCGGGCTCCTCTTTCCCTGCAACATACCATCTGGCATTCGTTGGCACTATTCGGAGTTCCTCCGGATCCAAGCAGAATTTGCGGCCAGTGCCCCAAAAGAGCAGGCAGCTGTCATACTCGTAGCGGACGGAGAAGGTCTTCTCCTTCGAGCTCTGGCAGCGGACACAATGACCACACACCACGTTGTCCGAAGGCTCGCAGAATTCCATTGTGTAGGTCTCCCCCTTGGGTCCCCTCCAACTGCCCTCGAGCAAGCGAGAGACTCCACGCCAATGCTCTGCCAGACTCAGCCATTCTTCCGACCACCCCTCCTCTTCCGATTCCTCAGACTCTTCCGAAGTGACTCGTGAATTCTCATCGTGAGCCGAATCCTTCTCGCTCTTTGTGCTTGGGCTCAAGACTGGGGTAGGGCTGGGCTGACTCTGACTCTGCTGACTCTGCTGGCCACTGGACGTGCTTGATGTCGCAGCGGCATCAGTGGCATCGTCGGCATCTCTGTCTCCCTCAGCTTTCTGCTCTTTGACAGGCCTCGCCTTAGGAGTGTCCTGGGGGACGCTCACTAGTTCTTCGAGTGAGCCTGAAGCATCATCAAACAGAACCTGCTTGTGGGCAGCCTCCTCCATCGCCATGTTCACATAACCATCAGGTGGACTGACGGCTTTCATCCAATCCCAGATGGCACTATTCCCACCCAGGGATGCCAGCAGACCGGCCGTGGAGGAGTCGTACTTCTTGAAGAGCTCACGAGGAGGCGCCGCAAATAAGACATCCACTTGGACGCCTGCCTTCTTGGGCCACAGCCTCGCCGCGACTTTCTGCAGCACGTAGAGCCTCCTATTATCCGTTGTAAACCAGTGAGACCTCTCGTCAGGTATGGCCGGTATGGCCATACCTGCCATACCTACCGTTCCGGTTCTCTTCTGTCCAGGGGCCCATCGGATCACTTCAATGTTTGGAAAAGGCGCCTTCAGAATCACATCATAAGGCCCGACTCCCGCAACTTCCTGCACCAAGCCTGTCACCTCATCCAAGGCTTGGCCGTTGCAAAAGCGCGTTCGGAGCTGTTCTTGGGAGAAACGCACAGCCAGCGGTGAGATGAATTTCTCTTCATAGACTGGCATAGCTTTTCAGGGTTGTTCAAGGCGCTTGCTGAACAGAAGGCGCGCGCGCATCTGATGGAATAAGTCTTCAAACAATGCCGCAGGACATGGCCAGCCTTCCTCACAACTGGCGTCTCATTGCAATGCCAACAAAACGTCACTTTGTTGAAAGCTTCATCAGATGTTCGCCGCTGTAGCCTTGGCATGTACTGATGCTGGTGTTGCTGCATGGTGCAGAGTGTGGATCTCACAGGGCATGTCGGACACCCACAAAGCGCTGCAAACTGCAGGATGTTGCAAGCAGGATGGCTTCTGGCAGAGCAGCCACAACCCTACGTCCCACAAGTCACGCAGCTGTCACGAATCCTTTTGCACCCGATCGATGCTCGCACTACACGTTCTTTCAGAAGACTACGGATCGGTCAGCTGGCGAGGCCCCTCGGTTCAAGCCGCACATACAGCGATGGTCGTGAGCTCTTTGCATTATCACTTTGCTAGGCTTGGTCTGGGCCACATCCCGGAGTCAGGGCCTCACTTGCTTGCTGTGCGTGTTGGACACAATTTGGGCCGCAGTCTTGGAGGTTCAACTGCTAGTGACATGCGATGATGGGCTCGGTGCGACCCAAACCACGGGGGGAGAATCCACGCAGAAAGCGATCAGAAATTAGCTTCCATCATGGAACCACACGTACCCGCGAGCATGATCGAACATCACTCACGACTCGCGGGCGGACAGCTGGACATGTTAGCCGCTTCGCGACATGTCCGCTACACCAACAGCTGCCGACTGCATTGAAGACGAGTCCCGGATCTGAGGAGAAGACAACTGAAAATCTTTTGGCTTGGTGTGACTCTCCGCCTTCCCAGTTGAGCTTTTGGAACAAGGTATTCATGATCCGGCACTCTTCGCTCGTCTTGATGCGAAGGAAACGTGAAATGAGAGACGCGTGAAGGCACGAGCCGGTAGCTGTCACACCTCTTCCAAACAAGAAGAAGGGTCTTGCGATGCACGCCGTTCAGGGACACCCCACAGAACTCGAGCCAAAGCTGATGAAGGCGACTACTGTGCGAGTTGCGCTTCAAATTCCTGGGTGTATGGAGCAGCACAAGACAACTCGGAGCTAAAGCTATGGCAAGGGCTCGTCAAATCGAATTTGAGTCAATGTCACGCCGGGACATGAGGAGATGGCTTTTTGAGCCTGCGCCACCGCGGAAGGATGGCTTCTTCCCTCCAAAGTGGAAAAACCCAATGACGCGCCTGTTTAGTCTCGCAACTTGTCCATCAACGGCCCGTCAAGCTTCAAGTCTTCCTCGTCAATCTCGATGTCGAGGTCGCCGTCGTACTGAACCTAAGGGGCCACCGAGTGGCGGAGAGGGATAGGCGAAAAAGCGCGAAGCCTCCATCCATCCCCCCGGGCCCGGACCATAACGTTGATGACGTCATACACGACCTTCACTTGCGCAACGAGCTCCTGGCCAGCCACGGAAAGAAAGGGAACCCGGCTTATCCTTGACTAGCCTAGCACGCCGCTCGATCCTCAATCTCAGGATCGTCGAAGAGCTTCAATGTCTTGGTCCTGCATTTCTTTTGTGGGGTCGGTCGCTGCCTCAGTCACCAGGGTCAGCTCGCGGTGCTCCCGGAATGTCTCTTAGGTCTTAGGTCATGGCAAGACAACGCGGCGAACTGCATCTCGCTCGAAGACAGAATCCTGGCAAGCCACACGCGAGCACGTCGATGCCATATATCAGAACAAGATACATGCATGGCTTCGAGAACATGGGAAAATACAACAGCCGGAAGCACCCCGATGCTAATGACATTCTTCCAGCTTTGGTGCTGGTAGCGGGAATAGAAATCCTTGATCTCCTGTGCGAATGCGACCTGTTCAGGTAGCAATGGGGCAAATTCGTGACCTCACACGATGCCGGACATGCTTGCCTCTTGCACAGCAACCTCACCCATGGATCATTCGGACTTGTGACGCCAGCATGTAGTCCAGACAATCAGAGAGCACGACCAGTCAACGGAAGGAACAGAATCCCAAGTTTCAGATCCAGTCGTGCACAGAAACAAAAGGATTTTCGCGACGTCATAGGTGCAAGGAGGAATGGTTCTGACTGCACAGGGCAGATCCTCTCACATCGTGTCACTATCAGCGGCAAGTTGTGGGACCAATGGGCACCATCGACAAGCCGGACGCTTGTCGCATGCCCATGTGAATCCACGAAAGCACAGATGATCACCCATGGCCTCCTCAAACTCAAATCATGCAAATCCGCAACGAAGACTCAGCCTTGTCAGGAAAGGAAGTGCACGCAGCAGCGAAACGCACGAAAGCCTAAAAGCCTCAGTGTGCCTCAAGAAACAAGGACACTTGAGGAGGGGTTGGGACGACTGTGCAATCCTCCCCCTGATTGTTCTGGTTCCTACTTCATATGACAAAGGTAAAGATGCAGAGCCACTGGGCAGTTAAATGATGACTGTGTCCAAGTCCTCGGCTTTCCCTGGTTGCCATACGATTTGAACAAGGGCAGGTACGTTTGCACGGGTTTAGCGGGGGGTCTTCGTTCACCGCCCCCCGGGGCCCCGGTGTAGTCCCCTGCAATTCTGCACAAATGAAAAGGACTCTTGGTGACAGAGTTCCCCACACACACACACACAGACAGCACGCAAAGACTACCATGCAGCGGTGTGCGCACATGACGCGACGCACATGAAGCAGCAAAGCCCCCGACACGTTCTTGGGTTAAAATCACATGGTGAGCAAGCTTGGGTGCCCAATGCGTCAGTGGTGCCTAAGCGGACCCGGCAGGCGAGCATCAGGAGCATCACTGGGACTCGCTTCTCCATTTAATGGTGGTCTGAACCACCACGTTGCGACACACCTATCGCAGGCCAGGCGGTGACCTTGCCAAATCCGGCTCCAGGCGCAGTCTGGCCCGGAAACCCTTCACTCATTGCCCACCCCCGCAGCCTTCCCACACTCCTTGTTGCAGCCTTCGGTTGACAAGAAACTCTGCTAGCCCCAGAGGCTAGCTTTCGTGACTGGCCAAACATGCCGTCTCAACGACGACGATGCGACATGCAGTCAGTCGCAAGACAACGCTGGTGCTATGTTTGATGTGCTGCACGCACTGGCAAGTACGAACCTCCTGGGAAAGTTTGCGCCAGATCGAGTTGCTATGCTTGCTGAGACGGGCAAGCATCACAACCCTTAAGGCTTAAGGGGAGTCAAGCGCACATAACCTACAGCGTATCGCACACTATCGCATACGGAGCGGTGCCGGCATTGGCACACACGGTCCATGCCCACTCGAGCACACCCACAGCGCCACCTCCGGTAAATATGGGTTGTGCTTCCATCTAGAGTGCACACTAGGGCCCGTTAGGGCCTGTAGCACAGGTCATGAGCCTGCCCTGAAGGAATGTCTTCACTCGAACGGCGCCATCATGACAAGAGTGCGACCAGCGAATGAGATCCGATTGCCAGAAACCTAAGGTCCCCAGCAAGACTAATCTCGCTAGGGAGCCCCGCGCTTCGCAAAGCTGAGGGGTCTAAAATCAAATTCGGGTCCAGCAGAATAACCTGGGCCAAACTCATGAAAAAGCTCACATTTTCTACAGTATGGCTGCACACGAGACGGCTAAATTTCGGATCAAGAACAGAAAGGAATTCAAAAAAACAAGCAGGGATCAGAATAGCAATGACAGTAGCACTAGGGATGGTAATGGTAATGATACTAGTCATGGTATTACTAATAGTAGTGATAGTACTCAGACCCAGAGACCACAGTGTCAAGCCTCCTTCCACTTCTGCGGAGAGGTCTCTTCAACTCGCTGGGCAGCAATCTTTGCGTTGATGTTTCCCAGCCGGTTCCTGAAGCGCGAAGAAGTGACAAGCAAAGGATCAAAGTCTGGTGCTCGGGGGCGCGCTGGCCGTTGGCTGCATACATGCCAGGCATCGCCAGGCGACTCAGAGGCGACGAACCCCTGGCGGAGCAGAGCTGAGCAGTCGCGTCTGTGCCACAGGTTCGGGCCTGCTGGGGCTGCGGGCAACGTCGACGCCTGCAAGCAGACTGCAGACAGACTCGCCAGGCACGTCTTCTTGCTGGGCCTTGCTGCTCGAAGATGGACCGTGCATAGATGACCGGCAGCGTGCTAACCAGCGGCAGGAGCGAGGGCAGGAAGTTGCGACAGGATGTCTCGACCCACGGACTCAGCCAACAAGAAGCGCCCAGGGCCCCAAACCAGTAAGATTCTCATGGCACTTGTCACTCTTCAGCCATCGCACCCTATAGCCAAGCTCGGGACTCCATTGCATTTGTTACGATGACAACCTTCGATTGCAACAGCTCGGTGCTTGCGTGGACCAGCACAAGAAACGATCAATGAACGGTTTCGCTGTTGTCATGTTACGTCTTCTTGTTGCCACCAACGTGGCAGTACCAAGCTTCATTGCCATCTTCAGCAGCACTTCCACTGCCGCCTCGCAAAATGCCCCGACTTTGGCAAGCACATGACGTAAAAGGGCAAGCTTGCCTGCAATTCACGAAGCGGTTTCTGGTATTTCTCCACATTCGGAGCTGGCTTGAAGAAGGACAAGACCTCACACCATGCAAAGTGTACTATCTGATCCGAGGTAGCAGCACAGCTTCTTTTTCAATATTGATTGGCAAACGTGCAATCCCCAGCCTTCTTGTTCGCACGGATCCAGCTGGAAGGGCAAAGCCTCACGAGCAGCGCATTGCCAAATGCTTCTACACATCGCACTGAGTAAGCTAATAGCTACCACAGTCTATGACAGTCGATGGTTAAGTACATCGAAATGCACACGACATGGCAGAGGAATGTCACCAAGGTGAGTGCGCCGCTGAACCCCTAAGGAGAGAAAGCACTTCAAAACCCTCCTTCATAGCACAATTGTGTGGGAACCTTCCAAGCATTCCGATCAACGCCTTCGAATTCTCATTCTCTTATAGTTGATGTTGAAATCTATCCAAGCCGAGGCCACTTCAATTCTTACGAGATCGATGCTGCGGACGGCTTCGGGCTGCTCGCACCGCGAAGAGCTGAGGCACAGTCGTGTCGTCCCAATCGAAGATAATTATGGTTTGCTCCTGATAAAAATGCGCAGTTCAAAGGGCCTCAAGAGTTAATTTTCAAGCACGTCCGAGGAGGCAGCCTGCCGAAAGTACTCAGCTTGGCTTCCAGTGCTGATCATCGACCTCGCACCAACAATCGCACCAGCCCGCCAGCCGTGGTTTTTCTACAGACCACTGCATCTCGGGTTTTGGCTCGATCGTCTTGCGGATGCTCGGCTTCTGCTTCACCGCGACTCCCTTTCCAGGGTTTTGAATCGCCCGCCTGGACCAAAAGAGTGTGATTTCGCTGCTCGCTGCACCACCAAAATGTGCGCACTGGGAACTGCGAACTGGCCTCGAGACCATCGCCATGGCTTGCGTGTGACTGGATTTACCTCTGGCGTATTGTCTCGTTTCTACCTCCTGGGGCCTCAAGCTGCGGCGACAGACGATACTGCACCTGGTCTCTCCACGAACCAAGACAAGCTTTTTTCCTGCATCAACATATGGACGACACATGCCCTTTTTTGCAAACTCTTGTGATCTAGGAAGCGGGAAACTTTCGAGTTCAACCTCAATCGTCGTCGTCCAATGCCTGCACACTATAATCATAGTCAGTACAGGCCTGGCCACATCATTCCGAAGCTTCAAGGAGGTGTGATCCCGCCTCGAGCCATGCTTTGCGCTCTTTGTTCAATCTCTCCCAGCGCTGCATTGCCATCCGATCTCGTGCCTTCATCGAAGCACTCCAAGCACATTTCCAAAAGCCGAGATAGAGATCGGAAATCGTGAAGGGCGGGCACTGTTGCCACGGTCGGAGACTGTCCGTGCTAAGTGCGACTGGTTCTTTCAGGAAGTTGGATTCTGGAAACTGATGATGCTCCTGAGACTGGGATTCGCCAGTGAGGGTGAGTAAATCCAACATGGGGTGGACTGGGTTTCGGTGCAAGATTGCCAACGATTCTCGTATGTTCCTGAGCTGCGGCCGGATTGACATTTGATAGAAGGTGGGCGTGCGCGGAGGGGTCAGGTCCAAAGAATCTGTCGGGTCAGAGTACTGGGGTTTGACCCCGTTGCAGAAGATAAACTGTTCGGGCTTGAGCCCTGAGCATCACTGCACGTCTGCGAGCGACATGCTCAGCATTATGAGTTTGGATTGCGAACCAACATCAGCCAGCTAACAATCCTGCAGCCGCAGCCCCGCATATTTTAGGATAACAGAGGCCTCCAATTTTATCCTGGTCGTGCGCGACCCCTGTCATCTGATTGCATGTCATTCCGCATAAAGCACATGTAAGGGGAACAAACGTCGAGTAGAAAGGCACCCCCCTCGCCATGCAGCTCAGGCTAAGGCGGATATTGATACACTGGCTCCAGGTTGCCCGGGCTTCAAGTTTGAGTTGCTACCAAAGCGAGCTTGCATAAATGCACAGGAAGGAGGCCCTGCATGCCCAAACCATAATACCCTACAAGAACCAGAATGCATGACAGCAATCAATACAGGCGGGAGCGGTTCCACTCACCCCATTCGGCTTGCGAACACTGTGCGCGGCGGGAAGCACGAGAGCGACTCCACTCGTCCCACTGGGCTTGAGTGTATCCTCGATAAAGAACCGGAGCCGTGGCTTTAGGGGTCGCTTTGGGAATGCCCTTGCTCCTTGCAGCAACTTGGCGGTTCTGTTCCGCGAAGGGCTGCACTCTGGAGCTCGGCACTGCGCATGCTGTCGTTGAGGATGCTCCAGTGCACTAGTGTTCTATTCAGCCCACCACCAATAGCTAGAGCACTAGCTAGCCGAGCGACGACCGAGAAGCACGCGCCAAACAACTAGCTTTCGCCGAGACTCATCTTTTTTGATGGAGGCCCCATGGTGGGAAGGGTGGGTACTTCAAGATTACCCCTTTGAATAAAGCGTTTCGACACCAATACCTGTACATACTTTGTACGCACTTGACAGTGTAACACCAATGCTCGGCACACAATCAGATCCGTTGCAATCCGGACTCTTTCGGACTCAACGTCTTGGCAGCGACTTGAGCCAATGTCGATCATGGCACAATCCGTTGGTGCATCTGTGAAGGCCACCAATGATGCGGTGCAATCGAACGCGGTCCCGTGACAATGCACGCAGTGCAATTATCACATCTCACATCATTGCCAATTCGCAATGTGCGAAACAACAGAACCAATGCACAGCGAACAACAAGCTTAACAATCATGTCGGGACATGGCAATCTACAGCTATACAGACCAATGACTGTCCAATCCAAAAGATTGGCTTATGCTGGGGACAATCCTCTGCAATCCTCTCAGTGTCAGACTAACCACTGAACAATGAGCTGTACCTTTCATTAGCAATCGCGGCTTAGAAATAAAACGTCGAGCAGGAATGCGAGCCCTCATCAGCAATCCACCGAATGACTGCATGCTCACAATCCAGAATAGCCATCCTTCAATACGCGACACGAAGTCGCCTGAGAAGCACTCCCAGCCCCAGTGCCACAATTTGACTTTGTGTGGCAAATCACTTGCCAATCAACTCTGCTGTGATTAATCCTCGCAGTTGGCACTCCCAATCCGGACAATCTGGCCTGCCTGAATGACAACGCCAATTTCATGCTCTTCGTGAATCCTCTTGTTGTTCTTCCTCAGACGGCGTCGCCGTCGAAGGTCAACTCGGCAATCCCGTACGCAGTCACCCGACAAGGTGCGAGCAATCCGCGAGCTCGGCATGCAATGCCGCGGGGCATTTGCGCATGGCGTGCAAAGGACCATCTGCCATGTGACACTCCAGGCTGGGACAATTCGTTGGCCCGTCCTGCTGATACTCATCCGCATTGGGTGGCTCCCAATTTCAATCCAAACAGTTCCACAGAGAGGCAATACGGGCATCGAATTCCCAATTAGATCTCCATGCCATCGAGGCTGTGCACCAATGCAGCCAGCCCTCATTATGGGTTCCATCCATTTTCAATCTGGGAACGAAGGGTCCAATGGGCAGCATCGTAAGCACTGCAATCGGCTCCTGCCAATAGTCTTGCAAGTGTCCTTGCAACTACCGGCGAGCCAATTTGCTCAGCGGTCCAGCAATGGTCATAAACAAGTTGGCTTGTCTCAACGGCAGGTGAGACAATACACTTCTCACAACTTCGATATGGCTAAGGCAATTCAGCCAAGTCTCCACAATGCACAGAGGAAGTACAATGAAGAGCTGCAGTGGCAGCATGTTCTTGCTCATCCATTTCGGAAGCAGGATGCAATCCGAAAAGCTGTGGTTCGGGAATGCAATCACAGTGGCTGTCTTCAAGTGATGGCGGCAATGCATGTAGACGGGCCAATTGACACCATCAGATGGCAATCGCAATGGCGTCTCGAGCAATCTCCATGTTGCCAACGGGAGCCCCTCGTTGCGCGAGGGGCCGTTCAGCAATGGCCACAGCCGCGCCATCGCGGCCTGCAATGCCATCGTGCCGGCGTTCAAGAATCAATTCAGGAGGTCCAAGTGGGTTCCCAACCGTTGCAGAAGGAGGTGGCTCCAGGAGGAGCTCTAATCCTACCAAACGTCAATACTTCAGACTCTTTAGAAGGAGCAGGAAGAGAGAAGTCAGTGGAGAAATCTCCTTCAGTCTTGGGCTTCCACGGCAATGCATTCAAGGCTTGAATCGGTGCTTGTTTCCACTGTTCACTAGGAGCGAATCTACTCACAGTGCGAACCTTAATAACTCCATCAGATTTAGCAACAATGATCTCAGTAGCCTCAGTATCTGCATCTCTGCCTAGACACAATGCTTCCTTCCAGTGCATATCGGACTTCTTGCAATCCTTGATCCCAATGACCTTGGCCTGCATGTGCTCTCCAAACACACAGAATCCACCTTCCTCCTGAAGTATGAAGTAAATCCATCCGAATGAACAAGATACCCGTTCAATGGCCATTGAGCATGTTTGACCACCCATGGGTACAATGGTGAATCACTGGTCATTTCCACACCCGTGCGCTCTTGCACTTGAGAGATCAATGTCCTGATTTGGCCGTACAGTGTATGCTGTGCCACGCCAACATAGCCGTGGGTCTGTGGATGATCTCTTGGTGCCGCTTGCGCATGCCGCCTTGGCGGAACTCTCCTGATCGTACTGCAATATGCCAAAAGCCCGACCACACTCATACATTAATTTCCCCCATTAAGCAGCCGAGTATGCCAATTCTCCTTTCTGCGGAACGACTACTGACATGGACAATCCAGTGAGAACGTCAGTCGCAACAAGAAGCGTCTGCATTTCCAATTTATGGTCAGTTGGATGACAGAGGCTGACGATCCTTCAATGTTCTAGCGGCAACCTGTTGACATGGTACAGTGCTTGCACCAGGATCTGAACGGAAGGTGTGTCAATTCATGCTGTTGCCGCTCAGAATCAGTAAGCTCTCCAGGAACTCTCAATCTTTTGGGTTCGCGACCTTGCCCAGTGGGATGATCTTCCTCATCAACCTCAGTCGACGTCGGCAACATCTCAAACACTGTGAAGCCTTGCTAATCGAACCCAACATTTCGATTGGGATCCAACTCAGGATTGACAGCCAATCCATGTTCATCCAACATGTCATACCATCGATAGTTCCTACTTTCTCGGGATCAGAACACTGAACAGTGTAGGGGTATCTACAAGCGCTCTCTTGAATCACTGGAAGACTCCAATCCAATGGGTGAAGGTTCTCTGTCAGGGTTCACAATGTCGCGCCTGGCATGGTAAACGAACCTAACCCAATACCTTGGATGCTGGAACCAATGATCAGCTCCAGTCCTGTCAGCAGATGCAGATCCGGCGTGTGGACGAGCCGCATCAATTCTTCAGCCATTTTGGCATCCAGCTTTGTCAGTGATCTGAGGCGATCCCTGATGGAGACCTCTGTGTCTCCAGAATGCTTGAATGATCAGCTTTAGCCACTTGCTTCTGCTTCTAGAATTTCCGCAAGTTCCGTAGGAATTAGGCAAAGTGGGCGCCCATGAACTCCCAACGCCCTGAACTCCCGTAAACAGACGATGCGGCGCCACCTTGCAGCCTTGCGGTAGGGCTTGGATTCTGCGCGGCACTGCCGACCGGCAAAACCCTCCGGGGTGGCTCCAACTTGCGTCGGGCTCGTGCTCGATCCTTCAAGATCCTTACTGTAGCGAGTCAGCCTCGGCCGGAAGTTTCGCGCACTGATCCATCAAATCAGGTACCAAATCATCATGTTGCAACTCTTCAGCCATCAGCCCGTAGGCGTGCTCGTTCTCTTCCCACTGAAGCTTTTTCCTCAAATCTGTTCGAACCGAACGACGTGCGAAGTTGTGCTGTTTGCAGCTCGTTGCGCTTCAGAGTATGCGACATGTTGCTCGTGGTGAGACGAATTGCTGCCTGCCTCCCTCCTGGCAATCTGTCGCGCTGCGAAGTCGCGTAGACTGAAACTGTTGTGCATCCACCCTGTATGCTTTCATCTCGGTGTTGAGCTGTGCCACCAGGACCTTCCGTGCTCTCTCGGACAAATCCCAACCTGTTCGTGCGTACGGCATCTGTGTGTGCTTCCGGCGTCCTGATGTGCATATTGGCTTCACTGTAAATCAAACCCAGCACAGCTGTATGTCGGGCTTCGGCCTGCTCAACCGCATGTTCCAAGGCGTAGTTGTTAACAAAGATGTTAACCTGTTGGCTCTTTTGGCAACTGCGTGAAATAGTTCTGGACATTGGCTTCCTCATTCCTGGTAGGGTTTCCAGTAGTGGCCGTAGCGCCGTGGGGAACCAGCGTCATCAGGGCTATCTACGGCTGATAACCTGAAGTCTCAGGTTTCACAGCTACAGGCAATGACTAAACTCAACCGTTGAGTCAACCCTGTGAGGTCTGTGACATGCTGGGGACTTGAGCCCAGTAAGGTCGCGTAAAGCACATGTAAAGGGCAACAAAAGTAGAGTAGAAGGTCACCTGTCGCTCTAAACTGTTCGGCACAGAAAAATTCACCAAGAGACAAAATGTGTCACTCGGTTTAGCTGCAGGAGCTACGGTGTGGCTGAATCACCTGACACTTCAATGGGCGTCTTGGGTCGCTGCTTCCCCAAAAAAAGTGGACTTTGGGTGCGCTTGAAAGTGATGTGCGAAGTGGACGATGATGAAAGCTTTATTCCATTTGGCTTCGCGAACAGAATGGTTCCTCGCCTGGTACCATACTTGCATTCTCGCATACTGTTATTTACGTGGAACGGGCTGTTGTTGTCTGCTTCATTTACTTCACTTCCACATCGCATCCTTCAGCTCAGCTCTATCTCTCAGCCGGGCGTTCCTCTAGGCCCAAGACACTATAGACTCACCAAACCCTAAGCTCCAAGCACCAGACCTTAAACCCTGCATGAAAGAAGCTCCTGACTCAGCCGGATCCGCCTCCTGCAACTCTTGCTCCTCTTCCGAGTCCAGCACCTCGACGTATGCAAGTTCAAGCCTCCTCTTCTAGCAGAGACGAGGGGGCCTCTGCGGCAGCTTTGTCTTGCCAAGCCTCTACAAAGCAACCGCGCACAGGAGCTCCCGACGCCACGGGGCAGAAGTGCACCGGGTCCGGCCGGGCCTTCTCCTGCTTTGCATAGCTGTTGTAGTGCCGGGCATATTCCTGCGAAACGCGCAAGGCTTCTCCCGGTTGCGGGCTCTAAGCGCTGCACCCAAGCGCACACCTCCCGGGGGTTCGGAAGTGGCGACGGCGAGCGCGCGGCCCGGGAGCGAGCCTCGGAGCGGCACCGGCCATCGCCCCCGAAACCGCCGCGAAGGAAGGGCCGTGCTGGGCCCACTGCACCTGGCCGAGCCCCGCGTGGCGAGTAGGCAAGCGGCGTCTCCTCCTGGAAGCGACCCGCTTTTCAGAAGGATTCAAGCAAATGTGTTGCAGGGCAACAATCGCTCTCCTTTCGCCGCGGCCTGGGCGGTACGACATCCTTTGGCTCAGGCGGCACTTCTATTCGAGGAGACTGGCCTTTGTCAGGGACATCGCCACTCCGCACGAACTGCATACATCGCCGCTCCGTTTGCAGCTGGGCAGTGTGCCAGGCTCTTCTGTCACGCTTGCTTCCTGTCAGCTGTGCGCCATGCGGACAACAAACTCTCAGGGTCTCCACACGACAACCCACAGCCTCAACTTGGCCAGCTGATTTTTTCTCCAGGTACTCCTCAAAGCTCCGGTCGATGCTTCTGTACATCTTCTTGGTCAGGCCCTCATCAAGCAAAAGCGGGTCAATGCGCATTGCTGCTCCGCTTGCTCAGCGCCTTCACTGCCGAGTCCCACTTTGCACCAGGCGGGAGATGGTGCAGCAACTCGGCTGCATGTCCCTTCTTCGGGTCCTGACACGAAAACTCCTCGCTTCTGGTTCCCAACGTCTTAGCATGCCGCGCATGTCTCTGCGAATGTCATGGTCGTGTCCTCCTGCTGCTGGTCTTGGTCGACGTACGAGTATCTCTCCTCATACTCTTCGACCTGGGCCCACTTGCCAATCACTGGGAAGTGCTTGCCTCTGGATAGCAGAAGCCACCGACATGCTTAAAGCGTTCCCAGTACTTTAGCTTGTCCCACTCCTCGTGTTGCGCCCGCACTTGGGGTTTCAGTCTAAATTCATGGACATGCCAGACGATCAAAAGGATCACGAATGCTTCTGCAGCTCCTGCGCGTCATTCTTTCCCTCCGAGTAGCCACCACGATCCTCCAGCAGTCGCGCATGTCAGCGAGCCATGCGCCGTCGTGCTTGTTCACGCTTGCATGCGATGCCCGGGTCCTGGAATTTATCCCAGAACCCAGCAAACTGTTTCTTCTGTTTGTCTTTCTGGAGTCTCTCCAAGGTGTCCAAACCTCGTACAGGCAGGCTTGTTCAGCAAAGCTGGGCTGCACATGTGCTCGATGCAAGACAGGCTTAGGCTGAGCCCTTGGCGCAGGGAGTGCTGCGAGATTTCAGCAATCAACCCCTGGTCGTCACATGCTTCGAGCGCCTCGCATGCAAGGCCAGGTCTGATTTCAGCAGCTGGAACACAAGAGCACGTGATGGACACCAACCTTGGCTAGAGCATCCTTTGCTTTGTCTAGGAAGTCTAAATGACCGTAGCACCTCGGTGCTTCGATGGTCATTACTTTGCTTTCAACTCGCACTGGCACTCAGTCTTACAGGTATTATCTTATCCTGACTCCGCCAAACCGGGTCCGAAACTGCGAAGCCCGAAACCACGCTTTTGCACGCGTGATCCTCGGCAAACCTGAGCTCACAGCAAGCCCTGACCAAGTCTCTGCAAAGTGCGTTCGAGTCAGATCCCGACGAAATTCCACGAGGGTCGCCCCAGCGTGACCCGATTTTCGCTCTGACCTTCACGAATTCGCGCAGAGAAAAAACCGCTCCATTGATTTACGACCAAGCTTCTGACTCCTTCAGCTTGTGGCGGATGTGCGGATCTGTAAATAGCATCTCATCGCGGTGGTTGCCCACAAGGCACTCAAGCGCAGCATCTAGAGACTGCTGCCAATCTTTGAGCCTTGGCACGAATTCATGCTGCAGCGGCCCACTTTGCCCAAAATCTCCAGAAACGTCAGCTGAGGATGAGGCTTGTAAAAGCATGTGCTCTTGTTCAAGTGGAGTGTGCTTCTCATGACGACAATGTCATTCCACTTCTTCTTGCCAATAACAATGGACTTGTCGTAGGCGATTGTTAACCTAGGCGACTCTTTCTTGTGGGTTCGGCCGCACAGCCCGGAGAAGGCTCTATCTGGGATGCGAACAACTGCTCCAGCGCATCGTCCTTGACGCTCTGCACATGAAAGATCAAACTTTCGGGCTCAAGACACCGTCTTCTTGTAAAATTATGGGACTCGTGAGGAGACTCGGACTCTCGGACTCTCGGGGCCGGGCATATTCGGCCAATGCCTTGTGAGGCATTGGCACAGCTCTGTCTCGCTCTATCTCTTGCTGCGCCGCTCTGTCGCCCTGGCCTTCTCGAAACGCTCCTTCGCAAAGGCCTTGTTGCCCTCTCCCTTGAAAGCCTCCGCCTGGGGTGGAGCTAGGCAACTAGGTGAGCAGGCGGAAAACCTCTGGGCCTAGTAAAGCTCCGTGAATCGAGAAGATGCTCACTGTCAGGGTCCAACAAGGTCTGACTCGTCCGAGAGGATAAATGATTGGTTTGAACGTTCCTGCTATTAGAAGCTCTCTATGCCTCGCCTGGCCTCAGAAAGACTTGCAAGAGGAGTGTCAAGAGCTTGCCAATGCTGCCTGTACAGTGCCTGCTACAGGCCTGGCAGGTGAATGCTGGTTGTCAGTTGCTGCTCCGATCACAGACTAGATTTGCGGAAGCGCCCTACACAACAGGTCAACTACGATCCCCAAAAAGTTATTTTGTGGGGAAGCCGCCGTGGAAAAGGGCGCGCTCGGGCTTGGAGGTGCTCCAGAAAGCTTGGTTTTTGAAGTCTCGAAATAAGCATCATGCTTACGTTTAGGCTTTCGTGCTGGAAGCGATGACATCGTGCACTGCGCGTCTCAGCCGCATGCCCTCTTCAGAAAGCCATAGTCTTCGAAGAGGTCTCCGTACTCATCCCGCCTGACGTAGTCTCGAGCTGCGCGACCGCACAAAGACAGCCTACTTGTTCAATGCCACTCGGCTCACAATGGCCAGTCTGCCGGAAATCAAGCTGGTCAGCGCTTACAAGGTTCTCCCGGTCAACACTTTCGAGGGATTCCAAGGTCATGGCTGAAGCCTGTCGGAGCCTCAGAAAGCCACCGAGTAGCTGCGAGTGCGTCTTGCTAGCGCACTTTTGCTGAGGCCCTCACCGACTTCACCAGCCATGCAGTTATTGACATTGAGTCCTTGCGAGGCAGGCAGGCACCAATGGCAGCAGAAAGGCAGAGGCAGCACAGTATTAGAAACGCTATGTGCTTCTCGCTGCTTCCCAAGCCGTGCCTCGGCTGGTGCTCTCGGCCGAGCGCTTGAGCCGAAGCACCCGCGAAGCAGTAAGCAAAGCAGTAGAACGAAGCAGTAAAACGAAGCGGTAGGACGCGGGTTCTTTCATGACAGAGGGCAGCTGCTGACAGCAATGGCAAGCTGTTGACTTCATCTTCTGCGCACCCGACATTTCGGCTTTTTCTTGAACCGATGCTGTCCGCACCACGCTTGCTTCAGGCCTCTCACGAGCCACATGAATCAAGCGCCACACAGCAAGAAAACAACGCAAATGCAGCTTGTGTCCTCTGGTCTTGTAAATCGATCAAAAGCGCACTCCGAACATCGCTTACAAACGCAGTATCCAAATCTGCGAGGTTTGACCTGCAGTCAAAGCTTAGTGTGCCTCTGAACGTTTGTCGCCACAGCATTTATCATCACCTGCAATTTCGAGCTAGGTCGAGCGCAAAGAAAGGCAGGGAAAAAGTCCGGAGAACCAAGCAACGAAGCTCCGTCGCCCGGCATCGTCCAAAGCAAACATGCATCGGCGTGCCATCGCCACGTCCTTGTGCTGATGCAGAACAGCATAGTCCAACGAGGTCCTCCGGACAGAAACAACTGATCCAAAGAACAAGCACCTTGCGACACGTGTCCTCCCCGCATCATCTCGGACCAGTGGGTCGGCCCTCAACCTGGCAGCATGGCAGAAGCACGAAAAGGCACCGGCGCAGTGACCAAGGCCTGAGAAAGTGTTCGCAAAGACCAGCGTGGTTCATCGCTGCTGCCCTAGGTTGCGCTGCAACTCATCGGACATTTCTGTTGATGCACACACGTCTTGAGCGCAGCTCCAGTGGAGCAGCGTGTAGTTTCCAGCCTAGTAAGTGAAGCGACCGAACACGAAGCGATTTCCGCTGCTTGACCGGAAGCGACTTCCGCGGCTTTGTTGCCGAGGGGCCCATTCCACGGCACCCCAGCCCGACACATCGATCGCTCCTTTAAGCTCCAAGTACTCCTTCCGAGGATGGCCCCCTCTCCAACCCCATGTGAATGTCTGTGTTTTTCCACTTCAACCATCCCGTGCCCGAGCCTCTGGGAGCACCGCTTCCTGCATCAAAGCCACTCGCAGCTAAAGCTCTGCTGGGCACTCGCCAGCGGCCTCTTCGAGCCACATTTCGGGCGGTGGCGTCTCTGCACTTTGGTTCCGTTGTCTGTCCTGGAGGATGACGGGTTGTAGGCTTGGTCCAAAGGGGCCCCTGCGGTAAAGGACGGTTTCAAACAGCTGTGCACAACGTGCTTCACACACAAACACACACTCGTGCAATCCTCCCTC